AGATGGGTCTAGGCCCGAAACGTCAGCCTTCCTGCTCCTATGATGCTGCTTGGCCTACTGTGTTCATCCAGCTCTACACCTTGTTATCTCTTATATTAAAGGAAGTAGATTTGACAGGCTAAATTGCCTACTCCTGCTCTTAGTTCTTACATTCTTGTGACATTGATTAGAGTGAACTAAGTTGTGAGGCAAACGAAATCTTCACTTTTTTTTCAGAAGAGGCAGTGAAAATGGTTTTGAAAGGGAGAAGAACAATGCCTCAGGAGAAGCGATAATTTATAATGTCAGTAAACATGGGAACCAGGAAGAGAAGACAGGTAATCAGTGTTATCACTGAAGTGGAAGGGTGAACTGATGCCTTTCTTTATCCCTCTCCTCCACAGGACACAACAAAGTTTGAATTTAAAAAGAGAGGCATTACTGATACATCAGACAATATGTAACTCAACAGCAGAAACAAGTCAGCCAAGTTCCTTTAGTGCTAAATGAACTAGTTTATTGCAAACAAAAAACTTACTCAACTGAAGTTGCAAAAACAATTGACTAAAGGTTTAAACTGTACAAAAATATATAAAACTACCCTTCTTCCAAACTAACGCACACAAAGTTTGAAAACAACCAAAAGTACTTGGGCCAAATAACAGATAAATTTAGGAAAAAAACAACTTATTCATAAATGATCCAAATTTTGGTGTGTAGCCCAAGTCACTTTGCATACTAGTTATGGATATCTGAAATTACTTTTCCTGGAAACTGTGGTGGCAGTTTCTGAATTTTCCTTTAAGAATCCTCCACTGTGCTGACTAGATCTTGAATTGGGCTTTCACCTCTCAAACTTTGATGACAGAAGGTTCAGAGAAAAGACAGAATGTAAGGCTTCAGGCAAGTTATCTTAGAGTGCCTGTGTTCAAATTCATTAGCTTTATTACACCCACCAACTGTGGGGATGTGACCTCTCTTTAAAAAAATTTGTAGATTTAGTGACTTCAGTCAAGCAGCTTTGTAAATGCAAAATTATTCATCACTGCAGCCAATCTCCAATCAACGTATTCCTCAGAAAATTCCAAGATAGAGATAGATATTCAATCAATGGTATAATGAGATTGTACATTAACACTACAGATAACATATCTTCATAACATCAGTAATTTAGTGCAGATCTTGTCAAGGAATACTGATGTGAATTTCACGGACAAAATGAGCCCTGAAAGGTCCTGAGCTGATCGAGATAGCAGATACAGAAAGCTGTGGGTTTTGGTTTAATGAGGAGAGGTGCATGAGGTTATAGCAACTAAATAAACTCAATCTTAGTCACAAAGAAGTCTGTGAGCTCTTCGTATGAGATAACAAGGTGTAGAGCTGGATGAACACAGCAGGCCAAGCAGCATCATAGGAGCAGGAAGGCTGATGTTTTGGGCCTAGACCCTTCATCAGAAATGCTCTTCATACTTGTTTTGGCAGAAGAAAACAGGACCGCTGATGAAGTGTTAAACCAGTTTGACAGATGCATTTGAGAATGTCTCCCTTGAATAATTGTGTAGGGATTTGACCAAGGGCAGGTCTTCTACTCACTTTTGCATACCTCATGATCTAATCAGTTGATCACTGTCAATGAGCAAGACGATTACAAAAAAAAGGCATGAGGTGGTTCCCGCTGCTTCTTTATGCATACTCAAAGGAACACCAGTTCTCTTCCCGAGGTTCCTCTGCCTGCATGTAGCCTGTATCCTTTGAAGGGGCTGATCATTCAGGACTAAGATATAGAGAAATTACTTCATTCAAAGGGTTGAAAATCTTTGGAATTCTCTGCCCGAGAGGATTGAAGTCTCCATTGCTGAATACACTTAAGGCTCAGATAGACAAATTTTGTGCTGTCTGGAATCAAGGGCTATGGGGAGGAGGCTACACAAGCCGTACAATTTACACCTATTTCTTACATAAATTTTCTTGTTCTACCAGTGGCCATGGCTCTTAACACTGAGCACGGACCCTTTACATGTATCTAGGGCAATCACAAATGAAGACAGACAACCAGCCCAAGATTCCAGATCATCTTGCTTCCCTAGCACCAATAAATACAGAAGGAAAAATAACTTCCTGTTAATTTACGTTTTCATATGAAACATTTTGAACTTATTTATATTTAGCATATGTCCCTTGGCATTATTTATTGTCCATCGTAGGAGACAATGTTTTATAACAAAAGCAGAGCATATGGTAGAGAATATCAAGGTTATTGGTTTAATCATGACTTAATAAGTCAAATGCCGCTTTCATTAAATGCATTCTAGAATTATTACTTTGGAGATTGAATTTGATGACTATCACATTATTATCTGATAATGGGGGCAGCACGGTTGCTCAGTGGTTAGCACTGCTGCCTCACAGTGCCAGGGACCCGGGTTCAATTCCAATCTTGAGTGACTGTGTGGAGAGTGCATGTTCTTCCCGTGTCTGCATGAGTTTTCTCTGGGTGCTCTGGTTTCCTCCCACAGTCCAAAGGTGTGCAGGTTAGATGGATTGGCCGTGCTGAAATTGTCCAGGAATGTGCAGGCTAGGTGGGTTGGCCAAGGTAAATGTGGGGTTACGCAATAAGGTAGGGGGCCGGGTCTGGGTGCAATGTTCTTCGGAGGGTTGGTGCGGACTTAATGGGCTGAATGGCTTTCTTCTGCACTGTAGGGGTTCTATGATTCTATGAATTATATGTGTTAATTTCTTGTGGTATTAAACATTGAGTCTTTCCATCTATTCATATCCAGTTTCGATCCAACATAAATAATGACATCACAGAAATCATAAAACATTTACCTTACCAAGGAGACAATTTGCTAGTATACAGCAGCACAAAATATGGTTTCATTAACAATGTAACTGGTGTTTAAATTAACACTGGTAAGGGCAGCTATTAAAACCTTGATTTCTTTTTCTTGCAATAAAAAGTTTAAGAACCGGTTACTGCACTATTAAATACAACATATTAATTTCACATACCCCAATTCTGTCTCCAAAAGAATTCCAAGTTCCTTTGTTTAGCCAAGTATTTCTTCACAGAATAGTGGACTCTTTGAATTAGCATATTTGAAATACCTGTTCGTTTTAACAGGTATGCCATAGTAGATGTGTGCCCAAATGGATCAATGGCCCATCCTGATCTAGGCTTTATTCCTGTCACAGTAAACAAAAATACATCATATAAAAGTTATTAAACTGGCAGTCTAAGAGAAGAGGGAAAATGGTTTGTACAGAAGCGGAATAAATATATTTCAACGTTATTTCTTTAGAAACAATGTCACAGCTCAGCTATGCAAAGCACTATACCTATTAAGTAACTGTGTTCGTGAAAGTTTAAAAGTCTGTAAATGGATGCTTAGATCTGGGAGTGAATAAGATTTGAAATATGTAGAAAACTTTTATTCACAAGGTGATGAACTGGAACATTTCTTAAGCAGACACCGACCTAAACTGTAATGGAATCATCCAATGTTGGAACATAATCAAAAGGCTTCTCTTATCTTTCATAATGCATGAAATTTCCTACAATGAAAGATTCAGAGGATTTGAAGGTATTGCTATCAGGCTCGATTCTAGAAGTGATTTCCTAACCATCAACATCATCCCTCATCCTGACAACAGTCTGTGACTAATCCAATGTATTCACAACCTCTAAGCAAACAAAACCTGTGATTAATGGAAATCAAAAACAAAAGCAGAGATTGTTAGAAAAACCCAGCAGGTCTGGCAGCAACTTGGAGAGGAATCAGAGTTTAATGCTTCAGGCCCAGAGACCCTTCCTCAGAATGTTCACAATCTCTGCCAGATTTGACCATAATGCAAGCTTTCGATAATCTATCCTATTCACTTAACACTGCTGACTTCGTCCAGCTCAGCTGCTGCTAAAACTCTCACTCTTTTCTTTGTTACTACTGGATTGATTATTCCAACACATTCTGCCCAAATTCTGCCGCTATAAACTCGCATTCATTCAAAGGTTTGCTGCCCATATCTTAATTCACTCTTCATCCTGTGTTTGCTGACATACACTGGCTCTCAGCCAAGCAACGTAATATTTTTAAAATTTTCACCTTTTTAAAAATTCTTTCATTCTTCTGTTTTCTCCCCATGTGTTGCCAGACCTGCTGAGTTTCTTCAATAATTTCTGTTGTTGTTTCAGATTGCGAGCATCCCATTTCTTTCAACATCTATTTGCTATGTTGTTGAATAGTAAACATTGCAGTTGCTCTGACTTGTTAGATTTTGCGTGAGTTATTTAAGTTGGAGTAAGTCGGATGACCCATTGAACCTGCTCCGCATTCAAGTAGATCATGCACAATCACAGATTACATGCAAATGCCACATCTTCTCACACTATCCTCATATTTCTCAATGCTTTTAGTTTCCAATAATCTGTGCATCTCACTCGTGGTTGTATTTAATTACCGAGCAAGCACAACTTCTCCACAGCAGAAATTCCCTCAAGATTCACAATCCTGAGTGAAAAATGTATTTGACTTGCGAAGCAGTGGAATTGATGTGGAGATAATTACTCTGTGAAATGATATTAATACTGTACCTTTGAAGGTCAGATCAAGGGACAGAGTGTTTTTGGGGACTTGTAAAGAGAAAAATAACTGCTTTTATCATCCTGTGGTTTTAAAATGAAATCTTACTTGGATTCCACAAAGCTGGAGACAGCCTTCACCCAAATGAAAATAATCAATTCCAAGCATCACATCTGTCTCACAGATAGCCAATTGATGCTCTTTATGTGACTAGCAGTCTCAAACTACAACACAGACTACAAAGTACTGCCAGATACTGTGCAGTCATTGGTGTCACATAAAGACTTGGATGAGTATAGGACACATTTAATAATTATATGTACTTGGTTTAAGATTTATCTTGCACTGAAATTAAACTGTTTATTCCATCTGCTCTTTGGGCTAGATCCTGGGTTGCACATCATCTTCAAGAAGTGATCTTGTGATTAAAAGCAACCGACTGACTGGCTAATTCACTGCACCGTAATCAAATTAGTCCCCTGACTGACTGTTATGACACCCCCTGGGTAACATGAGTAAACAGAGTAATAATGGACTACTTCAATTTGTATATAGGACTGGGTTAACCAAATCAGCACCAACACTGTGGAGGATGAATTTCTGGAATGCATATTCAATGGATATCCAGAGCACTGCACTGAAAAACCAACTACGAACAGAATTATTTTGGATTTACTGTTATGCGATCAGAAATGGATCATTAATAAAATATAAAGGCTACTTAGGGAAATAAAGACAATAAGACCATAAGGCGGAGAAGTAGAAACAGGCTATTCAGCCCATCAAGATTGTTCCACCATTATCAACTCCAGCTTTCCTGCCTGATAGGGAATACGTGAGCTTTGCACATCGAAGTTACTGAGTGCCACAGAATTTCCGTCAGGTTAAGGATGAAAAGTCACTATCAACAGTTAAACTGTGTATGAACAGAACAGTCTAATCAGGACATGACAGCAAGTAAACTGCTGAGGCAAAGTGCTTATATAAAATGCTGTACCAAAGATCCAACCACAGGGGGACAACTCAATGACCAATAGTAAACATAGTGTGGGGGGGGGGGTGGTGGCATGTGCGCTCTAAGCTTAAACTGAACTGTATAAATTAAGACATTGAGACTGTGTGTGCACCTTTTTGCTATGAAGATCTGACCCTATAATGAAATTGTGTTGCAATAAAGGTTGCCTGAATCTACCACCAGGCTCAGGCTCTCACTAAGAAATTATGAGATCTTACAATTTGGCATAGTCAGTAGGATCGCTGGAGGAATAAAGGACTAAATCTTGGACAAAAGAGCTATATTGGCCCCGAGGTAAGGATTCCTCCTTATAAACAGTTCTCGGTCAATTGTCTGGATTTGGTCTCTCTTCCAAGTAATCTTGAAACTCTCCAAGTGGTAGATGCCCCATTTGAGGCCCCATTTTTACAGAACGCTCTGACATTGGCAGAGACTACAATTTGTTACCGACCTGGCTGAAAAAGCCTACAGCTCGAGACTCATAAATAACTGGTACAATGGTGGACGATAAGACCAAAGAGTTGCCTACAACTATTAAAAGCAGGCGGACCCCACCTGATGAAATTCTCCAAAACCTAAAAGACTACATAGAGCAACAGTTTGACTTACCCAAAGCCTGTGCCGAAATCAGACAAAAGTATCATACCTCCACTGGACAGTGGTCTCTGGCCAACATTAAAAGAGTCTGGGGAGAAAGGACCCATTTGAAGGAAAAAGAATGAGTCAGGTGGTCCCTGGTCCTCATGGGACAGGTCCGACAGCGAAGTGAAATCATGACCTGTTCCCAGTTTTGACCAGTACAAAATGCAACCGTATAAAGAACAAGTAACACAATTAGCAGACATTGGAATGCGGAGTGAATGAACACACCATAAGACACCCAAGGATAAAGATAGGGTTATCTAGTAAATATGGTAACATGGTTCAGCTAGCAAATGTCTGGCAGGAATGTACTTGAATACAGTGTCCATTGCGAAAAGCCCCAAAGACAGAGAGAGAGAGAGAGAGAGAGAGAGAGAGGGAGAGAGAAAGAGACCAGCTTTTGTATTTGACCAAGGTAATAACTTTTTCCTGTCTGGGTGTGAATGTTGAGTACTAGTTAGCGCTTCTATTAAGTGTTAACTCTTTGTGGTCTTGTTTGGATGCATCCTCATTTGTTGGTTGTTAAACATGGTCTTGAATAATTTGTGTGTTTTGTCTCCCAGAGCTCGAGATCTGGGAATACTTTTGAGTTTAGTTTGTAGTTTGGGATCGTATGGTGATTTGAATGTCTGGTGTGCGCCTGTATCAGTATGGAACATATATGGTTGGAAAAATCTGCGATGAAATGTTGATTTAAAATTTGGCTCTTAAATCTTGGTAAAAGTTTACCTCTTGGAATTGACTGTAATTAATTAAAGCTAATTGAAGAAGTAAAATTAAGTTAAAAGATACGACTTTTTGCTCTTTCCTCAAATTAATGTACTGTATGGCTCGGATTGAGGAAAGAGGTCTGGGTAAATTTTAATTTTAGAAACTTTATGTTTAAACTATCATGTTTGGAATTTCATTTTCTGGCCAGAGTGAACTTCCAAATACTGTTTTAACATGAGTGAATCTTTAATTCTGGATGATAAGATTTGCTCATCATAAACGCACATTGGTGTGAAAGTATCCAAGTAATAGGGGAATTGGAATTTTGAAACTGCAATTCTCTTCAAACAAAATTATCAGATTACATGTTCCAAAATCTGAGAAAACTGATAAAGGAGTTTTTTTTTTTTTTTTTTTTAAGTACAATGTAAAAGGAGGTGGGCTTTTCCTTTATTAATTATAACACACTTATTTCTGCACAGGAGGAAAAGAGTCTGTTGACGTGATAATGTCCAGGAGTTTTCACCCTGTCCCTTTAAACCAGCAGTAAACCACTACTAATTAACCCATTCTGCTTGAAGTGGAATAGATGGATGCTGTTTTGTTTTTCAGAGAATTAAAGATCCTGAAGGTATTACCAATGGCTTCATACCTCAACCTGTCTGCAGACTTTCAACGTTGCAACACAGTGATGGATGAGGCATCCTCAACCCATCAAGCCATTCATTAACAACACATCTCAGCATTAGAGAACTACTGTGAAAACACTAAATGTATTGGTTATCAGGAATTTCAAAACCACTAAACCTGGTTACACTTAAGCATATCGTGATAAAAGAAAATTATATTGAGGCCTGGTATTCTAAAATATTTAAAGGGAATAGTGACGTGAAAATTTTAAATGATTCTGGAAAATGATAAAGTGCATGCACAGAGTCTTACTGATTATAATGCATTGAAAAATTGTTAGTGACTTTGAGGGAGCAAACAAAATATTGAATTTGGACAAATTTACACAGCGATATCTAAATATCTATAATGAGTTAACGTTTCGGGTCCGGTGACCCTTCCTCAGAACGGACAGTCACCGGACCCGAAACGTTAACTCTGTTTTCTCCACCACAGATGCTGCCAGACCTGCTGAGCTTTTCCAGCAACTTTGTTTTTGTTCCTGATTTACAGTTCTTTTGGTTTTTATCTATAATGAGTTATCAAGTAACTTTTTTAAAAATTTGAGT